GGTTGTTTTGAACATAGAGTGGTCGGTCTTACATCAGACTTGACTCCTCCGGCTAAACATTTGTGCACAGCGGCACAAGGAAATGACACGGTTGTTTTGAACATAGAGTGGTCGGTCTTACATCAGACTTGACTCCTCCGGCGAAACATTTGTGCACAGCGGCACAAGGAAATGACACGGTTGTTTTGAACATAGAGTGGTCGGTCTTACATCAGACTTGACTCCTCCGGCTAAACATTTGTGCACAGCGGCACAAGGAAATGACACGGTTGTTTTGAACATAGAGTGGTCGGTCTTACATCAGACTTTACTCCTCCAAGACTTGGTCACCAGCCAGAGCTTGATTTTTGTCCCCCCCCCCCCTTTTCCAGCATCGTCTGCGCTGACGTGCGGTTCCCCGATCAACAAACCCGGGAGTCGCTTGTTTTGGGCTGTAACAACCCCATTCGGTCTTCATAATGTGCACTGTATATATTGAAGGTCACATTAAGCCTTGATATAATTATAACGTCAGCTATTTATAATTCATAACAGTGATGTGAAAGGTAACATTTAGTTTCTTTTTTTTTGTTAAATCGTTTAAATTTACAATCATAGATGAAATGAAACGTTTTGACACACTATTTGTCACAAATCTTTCGTTTAGTTTCCTCACGGCAGTCAACTATTTCGTTCATTTGCATTGTGATTTGACTATCACAAGGGTAGGCAAATTTTTTAGAATGAGGAGGAGCCTTTTTTAGACAATCTTCTAAGAAAATACTTTGGGAAGCGCATGTCATTACAGATTGTATATAGTAAAAATAGAATAGCCGCATCTTTTCCTTCAAAGGACGGCTCTGGAACCACAGATCATTAACTACTGTACAGGCAGAATGTCCCATGCTTTGGGGGGGGGGGTGGATAAACTACACAGTTTATTTGAATAAAGGCAATTCGGAATTATCGAAAACCTTAACCATTCCAGGCTTCCCTTGGGCGTGGTCAAAGCATGCTGCCGCCGTGTGAAGTTTCATTTCAATAAAACCGTCACTGAACAGTGAGTCACAGACTCGCAGTCAATACTCTGTAACATGTGCTATCATTAGAGCCCCTAGTAACATGTGCTGTCACCGGAGAACCCACAAACACTTCAAACAAACACATTCTCTTTCATTTGAGTCGTTAGAGAAATTGAGTTTGTGAACATCGAATTGGTCAGTTAAAATTGGTTCATTAACGTACGCGAGACTCACCGAGACTGAAAATGTTGACATTGTATAACTACACAGGCGCGTAACAATAACATATAGTATAAAATGTTGAAATGTCGTACCGAATATGTAAGATTTTCAAATTGTGATCAAAGGTCAGAACATTATTAACAAGTTAAATCAGAAAGAGAAGAAAATAAATAATATTGGTTCTTTTTTTTTTTAAATGTGCAGAATATAATTTTTTTAAAATGCTAAAGTGTTTTATTTTTAAGCAAAGAAATTATACATTAGGACAATGTATTTTAATCGCACGGTTTTGAAAAAAACATCTGATTCTATTTTTTCTTTAAAAATCCAATTCTAACAATTTTACAGAGATTCTAATTTAAAATATTTCCATCACCAAGTTAATGTTTCTCCCAACAAACTCTTGATTGAGCCCCCCCCCCCAACGAAACAGGCGTAGATTTATATATAAAAGAAATCATACGTATTTTAACCATCTATTTTTAAATCTATATTCTTCGTTTTTTTGCCATGTGTACTGTACTTAAATTTAGTGAATCGTTTGACCATTCCTATTTACAATAAAATTACTATATTATACGATTTCCTATATTTATAAGTAATATGTCAATTATCCACGAACTAATAATTTAATAAGTTATGACTATTGCATAACCAACAGAAATATTCTTCTCCTTCTTCTATATATTAAGGACCCACGATCAATTTATTGATCATTTTGGCTCCTATGCATGTAGAGGGGATTTGCAATGTTTCTGTGCCTGGTGTTGATGAGGACATTTCACTGATTTCCAGTGCCACTTTGTGAGGGAATTATGCACTGGGGGTTTGAAGGGTTGAGGCAATAGACACAAATGTGTCTAGTGTTGTCGCCTCAACCGTTCCTTTTGAAAGATTGTTCCAGTCCCTGATTGTCTTGGGCAGGAATGAGCAGCTCCTATACTGGCTTCATGCTGGTATGATCCTGAATTGCCTGTAATGGCCTCGTCGATGTCTATGGGGGAGAGGGACGAGTTTCTGTTTAATACTGGAACAGTGGACCAGCCCATCATTTATCTTGTACATTATGGAGAGCTTGGATTGTCGTCGTCGTTCCTCCAATGGTGACCAGCCTAGTGTTTCCAGCATGCTGCCAACACTAGAGGTATTCCTGTAGCGGTTCAGGACAAAACGTGCTGCTCGTCGCTGGACCGCCTCCAACCTGTCAATGCTCTTCTGGGTAAATGGGTCCTAGACTGAAGATGCATAATCTAAAATCGGACGGATAAAGGCTTTATATGCTCTTTCTTTCACACAGGAGTTGCCAATCTTTAGATTTCGCCTTAAGAACCCCAAGGCTTGGTTTGCTTGGTTACATACATTGTTAATATGCTCGTCCCAGCGGATCTCTCTTTGAATGGTAACACCCAGGTACTTTACGGAGGAAACTTGCTCAAGAATATGGCCGTGCAGTTCGTATTGGTAGTGTAGAGGAGTACAACTTCTAGAGACTGATAGTGTCTGGCACTAGTTAGGGTGAAATTCCATGTCCCAGCTCATCTCCCACTCAGCTGACAGATTGAGTTCCTGTTGTAGCTGCATGGTCTTGGTCAGATCTGTTGGCGATCGTCCTATACACCGCTGTGTCACCGAACAGTCTCGCAATTTTAATTCGTATGACTCATAGCTCATTCCGTAAGAACAGTGAGGCTGGAAATTAAATTAATTTTTTAATTTATTATTTGAGTGAGTGCAATAGCTTTACAGTTTTTCCAAAATGTTTTTTAAACACCAATATTTTCATAATTTCAAACTTGTTAAGTAACTACACGGTCGGTTAAGATTTCACTATAGTGTGTCTGACATTTTTAAATGTTACCCTACGGTCTGGACTTACCACCAAGTGTATGAGTTATAAGACTATTTACGTGTATATCTTCATTTTCGTTAACTGGATACACCAGTGTGATTTTTCTGAAACTAATAACCGAAAATGACAACAAGTACAAGGAAACGACGCACACCAATGGTGGCATGTTTAATGCAGACGAATTTCTGCAAATATCGGAGTCATGTTTTTCTTGTCGCGTTGGTCGTCGCTGCTGCTACAATGTCTGGTGCTTATTCCCAAACCACGCCATCGTGTGGCACGAGCGTGGGATGCTTCCCTGAGCCATACGCATTACTGGACCTAGAAACGTACCCGGCGAGGACAGTTTCGGCCAGTTCTACTTGTGGAGACAACACAACGAATGACGGCAAGTACATGAGTCTAGTGACGTCAGACGCCACCGAGTACACATGTAACGCCTCTGAGTTACAGCTGGAGAATCTTTTCGATGAGTCAAAATTGACCTACTGGCAGTCGGCTAATATGATCAACGTGACAGGGGCGACTCCAAAGCCCCAGTATTTAATTTTTAATTTTACGGACGAATTTTTGTTAACCCTGGTGAGTTCTTGGTCCAGTTGTTTTCTTGTTTTTTGTTGCCTTTTTTAAAAAAAAAAAAAATTTAAATCGATTTAATATTTATGATTGCATTTGATTTAAAGTACAATTTAAAATTCAGTATATTTTCAGAAAATACTTTTGGGACCTTATTAAAGTACTCCAAATAGATTATGAGATCCGAATACAATTTTACACGATTCGTGGGGATGGTGCAAGCAATAGATTGTGTAACTTTCGCGATTAGACACATTCCCGAGATTAGACGCAGTTCTAATTCTTTTGATCTATCATGTCGAGCGCAGCATTGTCAGTTGTATCGATTTGTAATGTGACTAACTACGCTACATGACTTAATACAAATCAATGGCATCTTCTTTACAAATGTTTTAACAAATACATATCAAAAACATGATGTTGATCAACTCTTAGATCAGTGAAAACAGCTTTTTTTTTTTTTTTTAAATTCGTTTTTTGGTTTTTTTTTTTTTTTTTTTTTTTTTTTTTTTTTTTTTTTTTTTTTTTTTTTTCCAAATTTTAACAATAAAAAAAATTAATTTTTTTTTTTTTTTTTTTTGTGAAAACTGTTTTTTTTTTTTTTTTTTAATTCGTTCATTGGTCTTTTTTGTTTTTGTTTTGTTTTTGTTCTTTGTTCATGTGTTATTCATTATCCAAATTATAACAACAACAAAAATTAATATTTTTTTTTAAAAATAATAAATTATAATCAAAATAAATAAACTTAACAAAGATACATAGAATCAGTTATATGAAATGCTCTTTTTTTAGTACATCCTAACAGTGTAAAATGTTGGGATGTTAATTTTTTTAAATTTAATTTTTTTAAAAATGGAATTTAAAAAAGGGGTTTGTAATCGTAGATTATTTTAAGCAGGCGGACAAATATATTTTTTGTCTACTATTATCTCAAATCCTTATAATATATATAATAGATAACAAATATATTATTATATTTGAAATTCTTTTAGATGGAAGTTACATTCGTTGCGCCTCCTAACCCAAGTGAAGACACTTCAGTCAACGCATTGCCAGCCGCTTTCATTTTAGAAAAAATAGATTCTATCAGCCAGGATTGGGTGACACTGCACTACTTTGCTGCTAATTGCACGAAGTCATTTCCTGGAATTCCTCTATTTCCCAGGAGTCCTAATGTTGACATCACGTACTGTCAAACAACAAGTCCTCCTGTGGAAGGTAACTTGGTAAGCATTAGAGAAGAGGTGGGAAACCCTTTTAATCCTAAAAGACACAGTTCAATGAAAAGTAAAATACGCCACACCATATATATAAAGTCATGATATGTTAATATTAAATAACAATAAATGAAGACATAGGCTATGTAGTCATATTTCAACGAAAACTAGTTGTCAAATTTTCGGTTTTGAAACCGAAAACTGGTTGTGTATTTTCGCAAACCAGTTACCGATTTTATTTTACTCATGATCTTTAAACATAAAATCAAGAATTTTTTTTTTTTAATAAACACAAACATAAACTAACAGCGAATGTATACACGTTTTTTTTTTTTTTTTTTTTTTTGGCATCTTGTGTCAATGGCACGCTTTAATGGGGTTTGCTAAATTCCAGACAGGACACTTCAATGAAATCCGAAATCGCTTTGTTTGAACAAGGGTGTAGTCTGCTGTCAGTTAACACTATGGGATAAATGCAGTATCACCATCACATTAAAAATCAATAATTATATTAGTTATTACGGGATTTATTTTACATATAATTCAATTGTTTTAGCTCCAGCTAGAAGTCAGTTTTCAGTTTATAAAAATATTTTTTGAATTATTGAAATCAAAATTAATTTACAAATTTGGCTGGTCACATTAACAAAGCTGATATCTGGGATAAAATAACTACCATACGCTGCCCTAGGGTTTAGTGTGGCTACTACCAAACTCTTTCTTGAGGTTTGATGTGGCAACTGTATACCACACGCTGCCCTGGGATTTGGTGTGGTGGGTCAAGTGCTGGAACCAAACTGGTGAGAAAGTGGCTTCGTGATCTCTAAAAATATTTCTACTTCCACTTACCAGATTGTAAAACTACTAGCTGTAGTACCCGTTCTACGCCCAGGTAATGCGCCATTGTATTGGCACATATTTTTAAATCTACGGCAGTCTATGGAGTTTAATTATCTGCCGAAAACGTCTTTGTAGACAACATTTTTGGTGTAAACTCTTTAGGACAGGACCACATAGACTTTGTATCGTACACGACTTAATGGACCACATAGACCGTGTATCATCAGGACTTAATGGACCACATAGACCGTGTATCATACAGGACTTAATGGACCACATGGGCCGTATATAATACAGGACTTAATGGACCACATGGGCCGTGTATCATACATGACTTAATGGACCACATGGGCCGTGTATCATACAGGACTTAATGGACCACATGGGCCGTGTATCATACAGGACTTAATGGACCACATGGGCCGTGTATCATACAGGGTTTTACAATTTCATGTAGCCTCGTGTGAGCATTTTTATCAGGGCGTTCTTCTTCTTCTTTATTTTAAGGGCCCACGATCGATGAATTGATCATTCTAGCTCCTATGTTTCAGAGGGGTTTGCGATGTTACTGTCCATGGGTTTCAATGGGATACTTCACTGGTTGCAAGGGCGACTCAGCAGTGGTGTTATGAACTGGGGGTTGGAATACAGGAGGCAATAGACACAAATGTATCGAGTGTAGCCGCCTCAACTGTTGCTTTTGGAAGCTTGTTCCAGTCCCCTATTGTCTTCGGCAGGAATGAGGAGCTTCTGTACTTTGTTCTTGTTTTTACCAGCCGGAACTGTTTGTCGTGACTTCGTCGCAGTCTGGGGGGAAGATTAACGAGTTTCTGTTTGATTCCGGAGCAGTGCACCAGTCCATTTGTTATCTTGTACAACATGGTGAGCCTGGATAGTCGTCGTCGTTCTTCCAATGTCGACCAGCCCAGTGTTTCCAGCATGCTGCCAACACTCGAGGTGCTTCTGTAGCGGTTCATGACAAAGCGTGCTGCCCGTCGCTGGACCGCCTCCAACCTGTCGATGCTTTTCTGGGTAAATGGGTCCCAGACTGTAGAAGCATACTCTAAAATAGGTCGGACAAAGGCTTTATAGGCTTTTTCTTTCACGCTTGAGTTGCCGATCTTCAGATTGCGCCTTAGGAACCCCAGGGTCTTGTTTGCCCGGTTGCACACACTGTTAATGTGCTCGTCCCAGCGGACCTCTCTTTGGATGGTAACACCCAAGTACTTAACGGAGGAAACTGGCTCAAGAATATGGCCATGCAGTTCGTAAGAGTGGTTTAGAGGGAACCTGCTTCTGGAGACTGACAGGGTTTGGCACTTGACGGGATGAAATTCCATGTCCCAGCTCATCTCCCACTCAGCTAACCGATTGAGGTCTTGTTGAAGCTGGCTCTGGTCAGAGCTGTTGACCATTGTCCTATATACCGCCGTGTCGTCTGCGAACAGTCTTGCTTGAGAGGTCAGCTTCTCGGGCAGATCATTGATATATGCTAGGAACAAACAAGGGCCTAGCACTGAGCCCTGGGGGACCCCTGACTTAACACCGACAAAGGAGGAGGTTTTGCCATCTACCACTACTGCCTGGCATCGGTCGCTGAGGAAGCTAGAGATCCATGTTTTGGTAGTGCCTTGGATCCCATATCTATGCAGTTTGTGCAATAGCAAGCTATGGTCTGCACAGATAATTTTGTAAACTCTGCAGCTTTTTCTTCGTGGGCCATCAATAGCAATATGTGCTCATGGGGTAGACCACGTTTTTGGAACTCAATTACGTGGATCATAGTCCAAGCACGCCCAAATCTTGGTGTTTGGTTTAGTCTTCAATTTCTCCAGCTCCATCTCCGTTGAAGAAGAGGTGAACGTCAGGTTCGCAAAAGCAACAGCAACTATGGCTAAATTGAATAAGCGGGTGTGGAATATTGGTAAAAAAAATGAAAGCGCAACACTAAGCGACTATCAAGTATGTGTGATTAGTACGCTCCTATATGGCAGGGAAGTGTGGAACACCTATGCCAATGATGAACAGAAACTCAACTCGATGGTAGGACAAGGTGCCTAACACGGGGTTTTAGAACGTGCCAAAATGTGTAGTGTGTTCTTCACTCTAAGCAAGCCTTCGCTGGTTAGGTCATGTCAGAAGAATGGATGAAGGCCATATTCCCGAAGAATCTCCTGTTTGATTGGCAGAAGGGGCAAGACTCATGGGACGGCTGCGGCTACCATTTATGGACGTTTGGAAAAGGAGTACGAGTGGGGGCCAACACCCAAGCGTCATTGACATGTGCCGTAGCTAATTACTACAATTCTTGCTGCGAACATCTATAGATCTGAATAGTATAGGCCTATACACAAGAACCAGGAACCCTGGTGACACCCTGTTCTCATGAAACCCTGTTCTGATGCCTACCTGCTCTGGTTCCAACCAGCTCTTGTATTTAACTGGCATTGGTTATATAATGGACTCGAGGCATCTGACAAATGTGAAATTTCCGTTTCGTGTCGCCCCATGTGTGGTGTAACTCAGGTGCGGCCCCGACCCCCTCATCCCCTTAATGATGCTATTGCTCAAACTGCGGTCCTCCTACCTTGTTGAATCCCAAACATTATGGACGTTGTAGTGTAAGCAGTAGCGCCCCCCCTCTTCACCCCTACCCCCCCCTTTACACAATAAAGAAAAAGGTTTATTTAATTTTAAACTTTAAAGGCTGGATAATTTATTCTAAGGTCGTTTTAAGAGAGGTGAAGCTGAAAATTTAAAACAATTAAAAAACTCCACTCAATTTCGCTTCTATTTATTTATTTTTAGAAGTATTAAAATACGTTTACGTCATTCCGGAAACATAATATTCAATTTAACAATTTAACATTAATTAAAGCTAATTATCTATTTCAAAGTATAAACTGTATATATATATTATATATTCCAGATTTGAGAATAAAAACATAAAAACAACGCATTCATACAATTATTTTTTTTAAAGTCCGTGCTCTAAATTACAATATAGATGCAGGATTTTGTTACTATTTATTAAATTTACTGTGTTAACGACATACACGGTGTATTATTACTATACGTAATTATGTTAATCTATTATTATGTTCCTCGTGTAGCTGGAATACAACCCCCTCTATGCCTTTGGAGAAAATTATAATAACAACATGGCCGTCATTGCTCGTCTTTCGGTGACTGCCCTCCGTATCTACATCACAGCACCTGCGAGTGTCGTCCCCTTGAAGAGTTATGTCGCCATCAGTGATATGTTCATAGATGGACAATGCAAGTGTTTTGGGCATGCCAGTAGCTGCGGTGGACCGGTAATACTTTGAATAAAATAACTAAAACAATCAATCGATAATTTTATTAAAGAATTATCATTATCAATTAATACAGCCTGCTCCCTTGATCACAATTCCCTTAGACTAACTTTAAGCACGGCTGCATTTCCGTATCTAAAACCTTCCAGAATCTAATGCAACACGACCCAGAGGCTAGTGCAACAAATTGTGCACAAAATAGATTAACATGCATCCGCTAAAGTTTAAAGGAAAAGTATATTTCATGACAATGGTCGTAGATCAAAAGAAGAAATAAAACTAAGGCTAAAATAATGACTTTGCACATAGTTTATGTAAAAGGTTTCTGAAACTACCTTCAAAAAACGACTCTATTACATTCCACCGTGAAAATATGGAATTTAAATAGATCAAAATGAAACTCGTAGTAAATCTATAAGCTGGGCATAACACGAAATATGCAGTAAACATGTATGGGGTTCGGTATGGGGTTTAAGGTCAGTTGTATGTGGGTTGATAAAAGAAGGTGTCTCAAATTTACAAAAGTTCTGTCGTCTCTACACCCCATACAATTACATATACATTGTAATAATTTGTTATGAAACGGTAAACCTTGTAACGCCTCATCAATGATATGCACAGTTCATTATTCTAAAATCATCATCCATGATATGCACACTTTATTTTTCTAAAAATCATCAAATATATGCACTATTCGTTATTTTAAAACATCCATGATACGCACAATTCATTGTCGCAACACATTATTCCCAATGGATACATTTCATTCACAATCTGTGTTTCTTCCCACCACAGAATGGCGCCACATGTGACTGTACCCATAATACGAAGGGGCAGAAGTGTGATGCTTGCCAACCTTTGTATAACAACAGAGCTTGGTTGCCAGGCAACGAAACCAACGCCCGGGAGTGTCTCGGTAAATACGTTTAATGAATACTAAATGTCAGATCGAAGTATTTGTTAAGGAACCGGCAAAATGTCTGGAAAAGATCATTTTTCGCATTTAATGGAAACAATATTTTAAAGTGAAATGCATAGTTTAATATGTTAATTATGTGTAAATGTGTAGATTCCATACTTCATGTGGTATAACTACTAAAGCTTGGGCTGATACCGTAATATGGCATAAGTGAGATTTATGCTTGATCGTGTATATTCTAAAAAAAGACAAGTTTTCACAAACTTTAATATGGTTGGTATGTGTAATCACCATCAAATGCTTTTATATGTGGCTCACCAAATGCTACAGAGCTTAAATTCCTCCCCACACTTAGTTTCAAGGGGACATTTAACATTGAAATTAGGGGAGATCCTTGATAAGATTCTATGGGAATATGTGCCATTGGTTTTTATGATATTTTTTTAAAGTTTTAAAACAGTGAAGTCGTGTGTTATAACAATAAAATAGCACGACCAAAAATTTTTAAAAAAGATTAGAAGCTAGCCCCTGACTCTTTGCATTATGTAAAAGATTGACCTCCTGGCTCTTTGCATTGTTTACAAGATTAGCCTACTGACTCTTGGCATTGTTTCAAAGCAATAATTTAGGAATGTCAGTAGGTTACATTTTTTTTATTATTTAAAAAAAATGGTTTGTGCTTTTTTATTGTTATATTTTAACAATAATGTCAACAATATTCGCTGAACTTTTTGTTGTTCCGGGCAATACGAAATGAAGCAAACATTTGAATGTTTACAAACCATTTGTAAGATATTAAACAGCTCCAGAGTGTTTGGAGTTGCGTCTGTCGGTAGGCCTAAGCCTAAGCCCAGGTTGCATTGACCGCCAGGCATTCCACAAAATATTCTATGGATCCGCCACTGAGGTACAATACGAAGCAATTTAAGGCCTTTTCCTTTCTCAGAGTGCACTTGTAACGGGCACGCGGATACATGCGTCTATGACGCAACCAAGGGGACGGGAGTGTGTATCAATTGCACCGGCAACACATCCGGTGACCGGTGTGACACGTGCACGACTGGATTCTACCTCAATCCAAACCGTGCCGCCGTCAGTGACAACACTGCTGAACCATTTTGTTTGGGTAAGTCTATTATGTTCATCTAATGGGTATAGGTCAGTCGGGTGTGTTCCAAAATGTCTGAGTAACAAGGGTGCTGACGTCAGTAACAACATTTTGTTTGGGCGAGTCTATAGCGTTCATCTATTGGGCTAGGTAAGTCAGGTGTGTTTCAATATGACTGAGTAACAAGGGTGCCCACAGTCCGTAAACTTGAAGACATTCCGTAAACTTGAAGACATTCTGTAAACTTGAAGACATTCCATAAACTTGAAGACATTCTGTTAACTTGAACACAGTCCGTAAACTTGAAGACATTCTGTAAACTTGAAGACAGTCCATAAACTTGAAGACATTCCGTAAACTTGAAGACATTCTGTAAACTTGAAGACATTCCATAAACTTGAAGACATTCCATAAACTTGAAGACATTCTGTAAACTTGAACACAGTCCGCAAACTTGAAGACATTCCATAAACTTGAAGACATTCTGTTAACTTGAACACAGTCAATAAACTTGAAGACATTCCGTAAACTTGAAGACAGCCCATAAACTTGAAGACATTCCATAAACTTGAAGACATTCTGTAAACTTGAAGACATTCCATAAACTTGAAGAAATTCCGTAAACTTGAAGACGGTCCATAAACTTGAAGACAGTCCATAAACTTGAAACAATCCGTAAACTTGAACACAGTCCGTAAACTTGAAGACATTCCGTAAACTTGAAGATATTCCATAAACTTGAAGACATTCCGTAAACTTGAAGACAGTCCATAAACTTGAAGACATTCCATAAACTTGACGACATTCTGTAAACTTGAAGACATTCTGTAAACTTGAAGACAGTCCATATACTTGAAGACATTCCGTAAACTTGAAGACAGTCTGTAAACTTGAAGACATTCCATAAACTTGAAGACATTCTGTAAACTTGAAGACATTCTGTAAACTTTAAGACATTCTGTAAACTTGAATACATTCCGTAAACTTGAAGACATTCCGTAAACTTGAAGACATTCCGTAAACTTGAAGACATTCCGTAAACTTGAATACATTCCGTAAACTTGAAGACATTCTGTAAACTTGAAGACAGTCTGTAAACTTGAAGACATTCCATAAACTTGAAGACATTCCGTAAACTTGAAGACAGTCTGTGAACGTTGCGACCTAAAATGATTTTTCTGTAAATGTCCGTAAGAACTTTAGGATGTCTGTTAAAAAAATGAGTCATTGAAAAAAAAATGATGTATAAAGAACGGGACAGCTCAACTCTCAACTCTAAGGATTCTGTCTTATTCTCTTGGAACTTGTAGGATCATGATCAGAAGATATACATCAAAGATAAGACAAGAAGAATTATTTTTTTTATTACTTTTGTAGCTTTCTTTTTAAAAATGTGTCCATATCATGTTTGCCGATTGAGAAAATGTTTTCGCAAGTTTTATTGTTTCGAGTTGCCAACACCCACTGGGTGAGTGTCTTGTCTCCACAACATGTTTGGGTAAGTCGGCAGTGTTTATAACGTGTTTGGACAAGTCCATATCATCGAGTTATAAAATATGTGATCAAATTCAAGCACAGGGGGGGGGGGCTTTAATAATTGTATTTTTTTATGATTTTGGAGGGTTATATCATTAATGTAAGTGTTTAAGTTATTTGATTTTTTAGGTTTAGGTTAAGGAATTTTATTGATGTTTTCGCAAGTTTTATTGTTTCGAGTTGCCAACACCCATTGGGTGAGTGTCTTGTCTCCACAACATGTTTGGGTAAGTCGGCAGTGTTTAAAACGTGTTTGGACAAGTCCATATCATCGAGTTATAAAATATGTGATCAAATTCAAGCACAGGGGGGGGGGGCTTTAATAATTGTATTTTTTTATGATTTTGGAGAGTTATATCATTAATGTAAGTGTTTAAGTTATTTGATTTATCAGGTTTATGACAAGGAATTTTATTGGTCATTAAGACGTGTGCATTATCATATAATTTAAAGCCCATTATTTACTGTGTACCTTTCAGCGTGTAACTGCAACCAAAATGGCACTCTGTCAACCGACGTGTCCTCCTGTGACGTCACTACCGGCCAATGTAAATGCAAAGAGAACGTGATGCAACGAGACTGCGGCGAATGCAAAGATGCGTATTGGGGTTTGGCTGGCGATAAGCCGCTGGGTTGTGCTGGTAGGTACATCCGATCAAGATGGGATTTCCGTATCCAGAATTTAATTCAGCCGTCACATCAACTCGTGTGTCTATATAACTTGACACTTGCGCCCTGCGAACATCTTAACACGGCATCATTATAGCTCATAAAACAGTTTCACTCTATAAGATATGGGCGCTATAGGAGAAAAAAAAAAGTGGGGTGACGTCTTTGAAAAGTTTTCCCAACCCGTGAAAAGAGGTCTTGTACAAATCATCCTGCACCACAGGAAACATAAGAGAGAAATTTATGGAGATGACTGAAGGAACAAAAATGGGTGAATATGCTGTGGCAACGTTCACACTGATTTGGGACACAGGGCGGGGCGGGTCAGTCGAGTAATATCGAGTAATTTATTTAGGATCAGTTGACCGTTTCTAAAGTAAATGAAGAAAAGTGACCAACGGTGAAGATAACCCGTTAGTAGGCAAGATGACCTCAAACTCCCCCCCCTCCCCCACAACCCACCCAGCCACTTTTTTTTTTCAAAATTCAACACACGTGTTTTACCTATGAGCACATTAAACATACATCCCACAGCGTGTGCGTGTAACACGGCAGGAACCATCAACAGCACCAACGTGTGTGACAAGGCCACTGGCACGTGTGCGTGTAAGCAAAATGTAGAGGGCGCCACATGCAATCAGTGTAAAGTGAGTACTTCTTTGACACCATAGTTTATTGACAACAGCAGCATAATAAAAAAATAAAATAAAAGAAACACGTACGTTATTTATAATCAGAAAACAATGGCGGAGCGAAGCATGAAATTCCCTTCTACAAAAGTTACTTGACAAAACAAGCATTTAAGTAACACACTATTTTAGAATCTCTATTTGTGCTACATTCCCTCCCCTAGGGTCCGCCACATTTTTCCACGCCCCTGAACTGTATTAACATTCTGATCTCCCACCCCCTGTTACAATGAAGATATATTGCATCATATTTAAATTGAAACCAATTCAATTTCCGAAAAAATAAAAGGAAATATAACGCCCTTTCTGTATGTTTTAATAATCTTATTCAGCGCAATCATCGGGAATTTTATTTTGCGCGCTATTGAACTCACCATTACACCATAATTTCTTTCACCTGCTGTCATTAGCGATAAGAATAAATAGCAATTAAAACCCTTGAAAAGTTGTAGGTGACCTACAGTTGAACCTGCGGTACCAAGAAGTCTAGCAGTCCTTTAGGAATGAACTAAAGCAGTGGTCCTCAACCATCCTAATGCCGCGGCCCTTTAATATACAGTTCCTCGTGTTGTGGTGAACCCCAACCATTAAACCATATTCGTTGCTATTTCATAAATATGTGTGTTCCGATGGTCTTAGGCGACCCTTGTGTAAGAAGGGTCGTTCGACCGCCCAAGATGGTAGTGACTCACACGTTAAGAACCGCTTAACTAAAAGATAAGGGTACCGAATTTGCAATCATAAACAGTAATCACGTGTGGCGGCGATTGGGGTATCGAAAACACCGTGCTGTCAATCATACACAGTAATCACGTGTAGCGGTGATCGGGGTATCGAAAACACCGTGCTGTCAATCATACACAGTAATCACGTGTAGCGGCGATTCAGGTATCGAAAACACCGTGTTGTCAAGTCTTGTGAGGAATGTCATGTGTGATCAAGAGCTTTGGATATCGACAACGCAATTGGATCAAGCAACATGTGTCCCGGGGGTTGGGGGGTGTGAGGATAAACACAGCCGATATCCACAGTTTGCCGAGAGCTAAATGTTCCTGAATGTCCTATTCATCCGAGACGGCCCTTGCCTCTCACAACGTGTTACCTCCTTTCATATCGCCGTTTGGTTTCATCATAAAATCGAACAACTTAAAACATTAATCTCTATAATTATTGAACCCCCCCCCCACACACACACACACCAATTCACTCAATAAAATATAACCACGATTTCAGCCTTGCCACCAAGAAGGTCTCTGTGTTGTGCAACATTGAACCTGGAAATGTGCACAATGGGATGAATGGAACACGTGAATGCAATGTAGTTTTGTGTCCCGCTTTTAAACAATTCTGTTAATCGCATCAAATTGTATCCACGTATTCATTCTTTTGACAAGCTTAATGTTCAAGGTTGGATACACTGAAAATAACTGACTTTGGAAAGTGAGGGAGTGAGTTTGGGGAGGGGGGGAGGATGATGACCAACTAACACACATAATCTGGTGAGGATCTGAGATTACTCTCTTATGACCCCGGCTATCAACTCCATCTGTTGAGCTACAACATTTTCCTCACAAAGGGTCCTCCAACCGCCCTGGCTTCCCCCGGGAGATCTAGTGAGGGACCTTCGGTCAACAGGTATGCTCTAGAATCTCCGGGGCCAGGCTGCAATGCCGGCAAGTTGGATCCCTAAATAATGCAAATAGGTACTTAGTAGTTCCTACATTATTTTATATATGGCATCCTTCCGTCTTCGCGAGACGATGGAGTAGCTATGTAGTCCTACACTTCGACAAGTGGCTCACTAGGCCAATCCTGGAATGACAATCTCGACTGCATTTCTCGCAGGAGACTATTGAATCCTTGTTAAGTTTGCTCCTCTGTATTGTTTTTTTTTTTGTTGTTGCAAGGGTTTCATTTCGCACATCTTCTGCCTTTTTTGACTCCTTCATACACTGCTGTTGAGCAGCAGGAACGTTGGTCGGCAATGATCTCCAATTTGTTAATATCAATGTTGGCATTTGGGGATGAAGCGTGATTTTCAAATAAGCTTTATTATTATTATTATCGTTATTATTATTATATTTATTATTATTATATTTATTTTATTTGTCATTTCTTCCAAAACCAATCTACCCTCATCCCCGATTGATATACAGTAGCATCATACTGCACACTTTAACACAAAAAATTTGATATACAATGGCATGAGACTCAGTAGTGTAGCTAGAGTTTGTGACTTAGGGACGGTCCTTGACTTCCCCCCCCCCCCCCCCTTCCCAAAAACCGTTATATCATGTGTCAGATAGCGTCAGTTCACACGATCAAATTTTCGATCATGATCANGGGGGGGAGGGAGAGAGAGAGAGAGAGAGAGAGAGAGAGAGAGAGAGAGAGAGAGAGAGAGAGAGAGAGAGAGAGAGGGAGAGAGAGAATTTAGCTTTATCTGAATAGCTGTGTTCAAGATGATGTGTCTACATTGATATGTCTAAGTTGATAAGTCTAAATTGATACGGCTTAGTTGATAAGTCTGGATTGATATTGCTTAGTTGATAAGTCTAAATTAATAGGTTTTAGTTGATAAGTCTAAATTAATATGGCTTAGTTTTAGTCTAAATTGATATAATATGGCAGTGACAAATACCGAGTTTAAGAGATTCTGACAAACAGTAAGAAATAAATTACTACCATAACTTAAATAGGAGACATTTATTTTTTTAAAAAATGTTTTATAATAGGCTTAGAGTCAACTCAAGCGACACCAATGTTACTTTCAAATCATCAAAGTTCTTGTATTATAATCTCCACAAACCAGAATCTGACCTACATCTCCGACTCGTCGAACCCCTTGAGCTGCACGTTGTGTGACTGCGATCCCGGGGCCTCCAGTCAGATGACATGCGACTTCAGTTCCGGTCAGTGTCCGTGTTATGGTCACCTCGGAGGGCGTGACTGCAGGTCGCCAACCCCAGGCTTCTTTGTGCCGAGGCTGGACTACATCATACTAGAACCTGAGAATCTCGTCCCCGTGGTAAGTGGTGCTAGGGGTACGGGGGGGGGGGGTGGGGGGGGGTTTATACCAATGGTTGAGTTGCTCTAGTGCACATGTGTCAAACTCAAGGCCCGCGGGCCACATCCGGCCAACCATTGGTGAGTAGCGCTAGTGGTACTGGGTAGGTTTATACCATTGGTGAGTAGCGCTAGTGGTACTGGGTAGGTTTATACCATTGGTGAGTAGCGCTAGTGGTACTGGGTAGGTTTATACCATTGGTGAGTAGCGCTAGTGGTACTGGGTAGGTTTATGCCATTGGTGAGTAGCGCTAGTGGTACTGGGTAGGTTTATACCATTGGTGAGTAGCGCTAGTGGTACTGGGTAGGTTTATACCATTGGTGAGTAGCGCTAGTGGTACTGGGTAGGTTTATACCATTGGTGAGTAGCGCTAGTGGTACTGGGTAGGTTTATGCCATTGGTGAGTAGCGCTAGTGGTACTGGGTAGGTTTATACCATTGGTGAGTAGCGCTAGTGGTACTGGGTAGGTTTATACCATTGGTGAGTAGCGCTAGTGGTACTGGGTAGGTTTATACCATTGGTGAGTAGCGCTAGTGGTACTGGGTAGGTTTATACCATTGGTGAGTAGCGCTAGTGGTACTGGGTAGGTTTATACCATTGTGAGTAGTGCAAGTGGTACTGGGTAGGTTTATGCCATTGGCGAGTAGCCCTATTGGTACTGGGGGTGTTTTGTACCATTGGCGAGTAGCGCTAGTGATACTGGGGGAGTTTCATACCATTGGTGAGTAGATATCTCCACTGCCCACACGTCATATATTCGTATAAATTAGGGTTCTCTTGCTCAAATTTGTTAAAACCTAAGAGTAAGAACTTGGGCTATTGGTTTCCCCGGCTTTAAAGCAAAAGATTTTTTTTTTCTTAAGAACTTAACATGGCGTATTGAAAGAACTATCTTCAATAACTATCTTCTGCGGAATATTTTTAAAAAAAATTCATTTCATATATCATGTATTGTTTAAGAATACTAGGATTAGCTAAAATTAGTTTATTAGTAAAGTTTATAACGGGTTTTATGCAGACTTAAGTGCAATTTATTTCATACTATGATAAACAATAATTTGTCTTAATGATCTCAAGATTAGATTTTGATATATCCTAACGGACTGCTACTTTCAGAATGTTGTGCTCAGATCCGGTCATGGTACAGCTGGCAGTACTGTTAGTGGGACTGGCTTTGTCAGAATTACAGCTGCCAATCAAACTCAGTTCGCCTTTACCGCCACTTATAGTGGTCTAATGGAAGCTGTGGTCCGATATGAGGTGAGCATCAATGAAATGCCGTCTAATGCATGGACCCACTGGGCACTGGTCCAGGGCTCCACGCTTCTAGGGGGCCTCACGTTTCTAAGAGACTCACAGAAGCATCATGTTTTACACATTGTTAATGAATTTCGAAAGAATTTTCAAATTTAAATTGATTTAAAATTCAGTGGACAGCACGTTTCCCGATTTTAACCCACGATATTGTTGGCACATTCCAAAATTAAAGTTATAAATGCGAATCATAAGGTGGATACTTCTTAAAGGGGGGTAACTCTCGTAAACAAGTTTTACTTCTCCCGGACGTGAATCCAAACAAATATAGGAATTATTTTTGTTTACAATCTTATTATTATAGATTGTTAGACTAAGATGTTATTCCCGGGTAATAATCAATAGCTACACAAATGCACCTTACTTAGAGTAGTGAAATTAAGTGGAGAAAGCAGTGCCGTCTTAACTTACGGCATTGACACACTGCGCACTTGCCAAGGGCAATGACAATGTCTCTTAGCCCTAGCTAGGCAGGTCTTATCTAGGGGGCATCACGTCTTGGAACGGACAAAAATATGATTCTCTTTTAGTTTGGTATTCAAAACTGGACTATGAAGATGCTAAGGACGAAATTAAGCTGGAGCTAAAAGCATACCCTCAGGGGGCTCCATTAACAGAATGAATTTATTGTTATGTACGGCCATGGCAGTGGCGACAAAATCAGAGTTGACCCTGGGCATATAAATTCCTAATTTCTGTGCTTATAGATGCCCTGCCCCCTCCCCTGAACGCCTGAAATACTATACCCACTCCCCAACATAAAAATTACCATAAATAAACTGGTCAAAATGCACAGTCCTAGACCATTCATAATGCTTTAATGCATAACATTACTTGAATTTGAATAGTAGTATTAGTAGGCTAATAGGCTATAGATTGCCGTTCCCAGGAAAAGCGGTGCCCAGGGCACACGATTAAGATTATTGTAGTGCCTCTGTCTATGCGAATTAAATGTGATTTTTGGTTACCGTGATTTTTATGGTTAAATTCACTATAAAAGGTCTATTTTAAGATGATTTTGCCGCCACCTGATATTGGCGCCAGGGTTGATTGGCCCTCTCGCCCCTTCCTTAGCACAGCCCTATGTATACAGAGGGTTAGGGATGTCAGTTCAGTACTGTGCTCAGGGCCTTCGCTGCTGTAAAAACAGCCCTGAATCACTGTAAAGTAGAGCCTAATTGTGACATATGATGAATGAGAGAGGAAGTGCAAATAGATGGGACTGATTTATATTGAATTTCTTTACTAGGTAGAGATGATGATTCAGTGTCAGAAAACTGGGACTTCTTCAGCACCCCTGCTTTTTAATTAATCTCAGTTTAGAAAACAATAGTTACAATATTTATCTGAAGCTTTTAGGGGTTTATTTCACTAGCATTCGCATTATATGAGTTGATTTTTTTTCACTGGCGATTTGCAACAAAATTAGAAGATTCACATGAATTCCATCATAAGTATAACTATACTGGGTTCTTTTTAAACAGAATTTTAAAAAAAATTTAATAAAATATATTTTGCCTTTTCTTCAACTTCCTTAAATTCATTTATTATCTTTTATTTCTTATGGGTAGGCTATTGAATTTTTCTTGATGATCTTTGAAAAGACTGATTATTAATTAAAATTTAATGTTTCATTTTAAATGCCCAAGTTTCAAACTTTGTAGTTTTGTTAGTACAACAATTATTTTTAAAGTAATATTTTAACTTGTTTACCTTGACAGAAAATAACAAATGACAGCTCTGTGTCTGTGAGGCTGACCTTAACTTCTTCTGGAAATTATACTTGTAATGACAACACAATTACTGCTGGCCAGTCCTGGAGTTTGGATCCTACTAACACTCGAGTGGACATGAGAGGTAAATCTGATATAGATGGGTATAAGAAATTTCTAAGAATTATGTCATTACACCTGAGATGTCATTACCTAAGTACAACAATACAACTTTGTTTTTTAATCTCTTTTTTTTAAAAAATCGAAATGACATACTATGTACAAATGGTAAATGCTCATATTTTATTCGTATGGCTGAATTTACTTTTATGTACATATCATTTTAAAATAATCTTGAATATGGATATAAGATATCATATTTTTTTTATATGTACAGAAATCTTAGTCATAAACCACACAGTAAAAAAGTGTATTTGTGTTTAAGCTGGACTCTCCATGGGCAAAGTTTGTTTAAATGCTGGAACATCTTATACAGCGGTCATTAGTACATCAGGCTCTGCGATGTTGATTGATTCTGTGAGTAAACCTTCCTCTTTGCCAAGAGATTATTTCATTTAACCTAGTAAAATTCATGATGAAATCTCTGATGATATAGTCATTGGAAATTCTCTTTGATTTAAATTCTGATCAGGATATCCTATGTTCTGATTTTCTTTCAGTCCATTGTTATTAATCTAAGTATACTTTTTGAAAAATCAGAATAATCCAGTGTGAGGTTTTGTTGACAAGCAGCTATAGTTTTTTGTTTTAAATATATATTTGTATAACAAATTATAAGTGAGACACATCAATAATCCATTGAAAGATCCATGTTTTATTCCATCAGTATAAATAACAAATCTTTTACAATTAATGTAATCACAAAAAATTCTTTGTATCCTGTGGCTTCACTTAATTAACTGCTTAGGCTGATCCATTCTTGAGATGCATTATTTTCTATTGACCTTTAATCTGTTATAGGCTCCCCCACCACAATCTGTTATACCACAAATATATTATACATCCAACCCAACTAGTTATACCTTCAACCCACTCTGTTATACCTCCAAATTGTTATAGCTGCAACCAAACCGGTGCTCCAACCCAACATGTTATTCATCCAACCTAACCTGTTAAACCTCCAACCCAACCTGTAATTATACCTCCAACTCAATCTGTTATACCTCCAACCCAATCTGTTATACCTCCAACCCAACCTGTGCTCAAACCTAACCTGTCACACCTGAAACCAAGCTGTGCTCCAACCCAACCTGTTATACCTCCAACTCAACCTGTTATACCTCCAACCCAACCTGTTTTTCCTCCAACCCAACCTGTTTTACCTCCAACCCAACATGATGTACCTCCCATTCAACCTGTTATACATCCAACCCAATCAAACTCTCTCTGACTTTAAATGAATAATTTCCCCAATATCTAATTTTTATAAACTTCTTGTTGACATTCTCTTAACTCCCTTAGTAAAAGTCATCCTAATGTCAAGTGTTGAATTATTTTTGTATAATATAATGATACACCAGTTTGCAAATCTTCACAGTTTCATCCCAAACAATTGGGGCCACTGTGTGAAGCTTTCAAGGGAGAACCCTTGAATACATTGTCTCTGGAGTCTACATGCATGTTTTATGACAGTAAAACTGAATCCATCTTTGAGCCTTGACCCTTGCAGAAACACTTGGCCAGACCTAACTTTGACCTATGACAGATGGACATTATATGATGCAAGTGTAATGTATCTTAACATCTAAATCTTACAGTCTGTGAATTTGTCCACAGCTTGTTTTCATCCCAGATGCAGCTACCTTCACAGAACTCACAAGCAGGATAGACTTGAACAACATAACAAACTGCATGCAGATGGCCAGAGATGCTGTCAGGTCAAACAGAGACATCTGTGCCAAAGTAGAGTACAGTCTGATGGTGTACCTGCTCAAAGGAGCTGTAGGTGAGTTATCATAAAATACATATTTAGCCAAAGTACTGGAAAAATTAGAGTCAAATTATGTTTGGAGAAAGCTCTACAAAAGTCCATTAGTCCTGATATTATAATCATAAGTTAATTATTTTAATTGGACACTAGAGGTTGCGTTCCTATTGTGTTCAATAAGAACAATAAACAGATTTTGTTGGATTGGAACAATAATTAGAGATTGTTTTCTTATTTCTTTTTTTTTTTTTTTGACTGAATGATAAATACTAAATAGAGATTTAGAAATGTGTTTTAAAATTTTAAAACATGATAAAGATTAGTTTGTTTATTTTCAAGAAAATTTTTCTAAAAAAAGAACAATAAACAGATTTTGTTGGATTGGAACAATAATTAGAGATTGTTTTCTTATTTCTTTTTTTTTTTTTTTTGACTGAATGATAAATACTAAATAGAGATTTAGAAATGTGATTTAAAATTTTAAAACATGATCAAGATTAGTTTGTTTATTTTCAAGAACATTATTCTAAAAATGTGACGCATATCGATAAAATATGAAGTTAACATAAATAAATATTAACCAAGTGTGACCTGCCATGAACTGTTGATTGGTCTAATGTTTTATTTTATCTCCACAGCATGCTCACCTGCATCTGCAGTCAATGCAAGCTCCCAGTGTGACTCCTCCAGTGGTGATGGCCCTTGCTTGACTGGAGTTCTTCCCCCTGACTGTTCCAAATGCAAGGCTGATTACTTTCAGTTCTCATTGATCAATGGCTGTCCTGGTGTGTTTCAAGATAATTTTTTCAAATGTCTACGTTTTAATTATTTGTTTAAGGTATCTGTGAGATTTTAAAGATATTATTGGTTAGTTATTAGATTATAAGGCACAATTTTGTGTCAGCTATCAATGGAAAAGAAGGGAAGGAAAATTGAAAATATTGAAAATAGTAGCTTATCACTCAATTATCACATTTAAATTGGCAGTTTGTCAGAAAAACTCAAGTGTTATGTTATTATTGTAGAAAAAAAAAACTTTTGTGCCTTCAGCTTGTGGTTGTCACCAAAATGGTTCTCTGTCTGACATTTGTGATTCTACTGGAGTGTGTTCCTGTAGACCCAATGTTCAGGGATCTAAGTGCAATGCCTGCATACCAGAGTTTTATGGCCTATACACGAGTGAGTTTTTGCTTTCAATTGTTTATTCTTCTCCCCTTTACGCTCATACTTTACTGTTGGCCAATCTTTCAGAGTGTTCATTTTAAAAAAAAAAATTTATCGCGTGATATGTCATACAATCTTTTTATTTGTTTTTAAAATTTCATTCCTTATTTCTGAAAAAAATGTATTTGCCGTGACAGCTTGTGTCTTTACAGTGCTTTATAGTGCTCTGCATTTAGAAAATTCTTATCAAAGTATTGAGCTACAGATATTTAATTAAATTATGCAATTAAAACACCTATTTTTTCATTTAAAAAAAATATACATACAACACCATTTGTTAGAAAATTATTTTTTAAAAATTGATTTATGTTAGTTTCCATTTGTACATGAGAGAGATTGCTACTTTTATCTTTATAAAAAAAGGAATTATTTTTCTTATTAAAATTGTGTATTCTTGTTGGATAATCCATACTTTTTAAAGGGATTTTGAAATTTCAGTTGTTGTGTAGCTCAAGCCATAAACTGAAATTTAAATAAACTGCTACTGATAAGGGATTTTTTAAAACAATGTTATGACATCGAACCAACTAATTTTTAGCTGGGACCTATTCTTGACTGCTAAATTTTATTGAGTATGAAATAAAGTTACTAATAGTTCGAACACTACAAGCTGTAGATATAATGGGCTTAACTACTTTCTTTTATTGTTAAAATAATATGATCTGATTTCCTTGTATGTGTATGACTTACTGTAGATAATATCCCAGAGTCTTACCAAGAGCACTTAAAATTATTATTTAACACCTATGACATGTGTACTCCGTAGAAACTGGTTGCACACAGTGCAAGTGTAACCCAAACTTTTCCTTCAACAATTCATGTAATGACTATGGGGATTGCCCTTGCAAGCCAGGGGTAAAAGGTCCTTTATGTGAAAGTTGTATGAATGGGTGAGTACCATGGAACATTTTTAGAAGAAAAAAAAGTGATTTTAATGAAGGGTTGTATTCTATGCACAGAATTTCTTTCCCTTTTTTCTATTTAATTAAAGCTTAACCATTGGATACGTTCACAAAGAAAAAAATATTTATTTTCTGAAAGAAAAGAGCGTAATGGGTTGGTGAATATAATTTTCAATTTCATATCATTTGTGGTTGTCATGGTTTGGCTAAGTAAACATGGATCGGATGACGTCACCGTGAATTGAGAGGAAAGAAATTATTCAGAGTAAAAGTATACATTTAATTTTAAAAACTATATTATTGAGTCTGTTTTAATTAACCCTACTTAACTTACTCGAATCAAGTTTAGAAACAAAAACATGATTTTGGAACCAACTCAAATTGGCAATAACGGGCAAGCTTCTCGGTTTTACAAAAAGTTGAACATAGCCTATAATTTTTGTTTACTTGCACAATTTATATATTTAATCTACTTAAGCATTATCACCAACCTCTTATAATTAGTCATTATATTCTGGGCTTGTTGTAGGCATTTAATTGTTGTATGTATATTAATTTCATGTACCAAAAACTAAATATTTGATAATGAAGTGAAAGAATTTTATCTTTATCATTTATTACTTTAAAAGTAAATGACTTTGTAAGCAATTTTGTTTAATAAATTATTTTCAAAATATAAAATTTAAAAAAATTAATTTTTTATTTCAAGAAAGATGATATATGAAGCTGGTGTATGCCTATTTAGAAAAAACTATTTATAAATTTAGAAAAACTATTTCTAAATGTTCACAGATTTTATAACCTTACTGTCAATGGTTGCACACAGTGTGAATGTAATTTAGATGGGAGCACAGGAAGAGCTTGTGATGTTACATCTGGGAGTTGTGAGTGTCTTCCAAGTGTTCAGGGCAGCACATGCTCTAACTGTAAAAATGGTGAGTATAACAGTAGGATATATAGTAATATTTATTTCTGAAAGACATACAACAGTAGGTCATTATGACAGGTATACATAATAGGTCAGTATGACTGACAAGCAATAGTAGTTAAGAAGTATAGACTTACAGTTTCTGTCAATGCACCCACTCATTGATTGTATTACAAAGTTTATAACATAATTAATTTTCAATAATAACTTTGGTCATGTCCTGCAATTTATAATGGAGATATTTCAGTTTGTGTTTATCCATACATAATACCCAACCCTCAATGATATCACAATTCAACCTGCATATTTTTTGTTCCTTAACTGTTCAAACAACGACATGCTATTTTCGTTCTCAGTTGTGCTCACTTTCTAACTATTAAATATGATCTCTTTGTGTTAGGGACCTATGGGCTGGGAGAGTGGAATCCTAATGGTTGCATCCCTTGCTTTTGCTGGGGCCATGGCCAGGTTTGTTCATCTGCTGAGGGTTGGTACAATGAACCGGTCACCAGCTCAAGTTCTGATGTCTGGTCAGCTCAAGATGCTGAGGGCAATAGTATCTATGTGCTGACTGTCTCTGCTGATAGCCAGTAAGTTGCGCAATGTCTCTTTCTGGATTCAATTTTTTGTTTCTTTTTTAAAACAGTGTCTGAACCATTCACTCATATATAAACCAATCAGTTATGTCTGAACCATTCACTCATATATAAACCAATCAGTTATGTCTGAACCATTCACTCATATATAAACCAATCAGTTATGTCTGAACCATTCACTCATATATAAACCAATCAGCTATGTCTGAACCATTCACTCATATATAAACCAATCAGTTATGTCTGAACCATTCACTCATATATAAACCAATCAGTTATGTCTGAACCATTCACTCATAGATAAACCAATCAGTTATGTCTGAACCATTCACTCATATATAAACCAATCAGTTATGTCTGAACCATTCACTCATATATAAACCAATCAGCTATGTCTGAACCATTCACTCATATATAAACCAATCAGTTATGTCTGAACCATTCCCTTATTTTACTTCATTCTGGGCTGATGTCTTCTTCTGTACCTTTTCAACCCCCCCTGGTGGAGCCTAAAACAATTTCTTTCCAAGCCTCCCAGTCTCTCTAGCTATGCTCTCTAACTCTTTCCAACTCCTTCCAGTCTTTGTTACTTCTTTGTCTACATTTATTCTCCAGGTGTTTTTGAGTCTTCTTCGTCCTCATGGACCTTGATGTATAATATTCCAGTTATTTGAGCTCATCCTTCTGTTACCACTTTCATTTATATTTAGACATTTCAAGAAGATTATTTAAGGGATCACTGTTCAAATATATTTTATTTAACGAATTTAATGCAGTTGTTATTACTAGTCCAAAGAGCGGAAGCAATTCATCTAAACAAATATCAGTCCACTTTTATTGTTTCTAAGATCTGCTGTGATAATTTAATTAATTTCAAAATTATAAGAAATGATTTTTGTTCCCCAGAAATGCAACGAAGATAGAGCCTGATCATTTGGCAACATCGGACATTTACTTTGTTGCCCCCGGAAAATTTCTAGGTGATCGTAAATCTTCTTACGGTCGTTACATCACCATTACCCTGTCCCCATTTGATGTTGGTAACAACACTGAAGTACAACTTTCTGGTGCTTATACGAACTATACACTGGTCTACTCTCACAGTGGGACTGTCAATAATTCAACATTGAAGGAGTTAACCATTCAGGTCGGTGACTATTTATTAGCCAAACCTTTATAGAATATGGAAAGTGGAAAAAAAATTAGTTATGCATAAATTTGCACAATCACCAATGCATTAATATAATTTATAAAACTGCTTGAATGTCAATATTAATTTTTGTAGGCTTTTAATTGTTGAATTATTTAGTTTATTTTTTTGCAGCATAGCTATATAATACATTTCTGTATCACATTATAACATACAATCAAAGATTTTGATTCCTTCCTTTGATAACTGAATTTAAAGAGTTAAGAAAGCTTACTCTTCAAATGAAACAAAGACTTGAACAATCAATGAATGATCTGCTTACCCAGGCCCAGTTTGGAATGCAAACCTATGATATTCTAATCATAATTGATAACAGTTTTTCTCTCATTGTGTCTAAAGTATTATATATGAGTTAATGAAATTGGGTTTTTTTGTCATGAGATTCAGAAAAAACAAAAACCGTGTGTTATAATTAGGCGTTATTATAGGCAAAATCCTCCAGACTATTCATAGTTGTCATTCATGTTACCTTAGGAATCAGAGCCATCACATCTGTCCTGTTTTGGTTAATTAAGGGGCCCAGTGTTGTGTGGTGGAGACAAATGTAACTATCAACTTTGAATGCAAGGGGCTCAAAACCGAAAAGTAGCAGGGGGATATCCAAAAGTTACCTGACAGCTCTGCTAGGAATATAAGGACATTCAAAAGAAACGTTTTTACCCATTTTGTAACAAGGTTATCCACACAAGCAAGCACACAAGATGTAAAAACTACTTAAATTGAATTGGCCAACCCTTAAGTTAATAAAATAAATTTGTGTCAATAATGTGTATATTAAAATTTCCAAGTGCTCTAGCCCTCAACAAGTATACTTTGATGTCTTTACCAACTAAATATTCTTTGATGTCTTCCCCAAGTATTCTTTGATGTCTTTACTAACAAGTATTCTTTGATACCTTTACCAAAAAGTTTTCTTTGATGCCTTTACCAAGTATTCTTTGATACCTTTTCCAACTAGTATTATTTGATGTCTTTTCCCACTAGTATTCTTTGATGTCTTTACCAAGCTTTGTTTCTCCTCCAGATTCCACTACTGGAGCAACAGTGGGAGGTGAAGACTAAAGTGGTTTCTACATCAGCAACCACCAACCTTACCACCACCAGCTTTACCTCTTCTGGTAATGCATCCTACTATCAGCTTCTGGAGACACTGTCAAATTTGGCATCCTTCCGCATCAAAGCTTACATAGCAAATGCAAGTACTGCTACTTATATCTGAATATAACTCTTTGACATCAGTCAGATGTCAAAGTTTGATTCATGCAATTAAATTCTTTTTTTTTCTTTTTTTTATGTTTAGAAAAAAAAAAATTCAGGGAAAAATCAACTTTTTTTGTGTAGTTAAAACATCAAGTTTCATTGGATTCAATGCAAACAACAGGAAAATAAAATGTGAAATTTGATCATGACTTTACTCTATGTGAATATTTTTTGTTCCTTACATCCAGTCCAGCCAAGCCTTTAATCTTCTGAGTGTGACCCTAGAAGGTGGCTCCACAAACAGTACGGCCAGCTCACCAGTAAACAATGTGGAGATGTGTGTTTGTGAACATGGATACACTGTAAGTAGCAGTTCTTGGCTTATTTTTTTTTATAATCTCATCTTTTTTTTTTTAGCCTTTTTTTTTGCCGATTGTTTAATTTAATAGATTTTAAAAAATATAAAATAGCCTATAAAAGAAAGATAATGAGAACTGGGCTAGTGAAATTATTGCTGTAAAGAATATACTAAAAATTGAGTCATGGCTCCTTCCTTCCTTGGTGTCCTTATATTATTAAATATTAGCAATGACACTTCAACTTTTTTTTGGGGTCAAACATCCCAACCTGAGTGTTGTTGCCGTCCAACGATGTGTAATGAACTAATTACAAGAGTGTTGGACTGCAACAAAGCTTTCAGGTAGATTAATGGGACACAAACAACCCCTTTTTCCTGTTTGGTATTTTTAATTTTACTTCCACCCACTTCCTTTCCATTCTTCTGAGCCTTGTTTTCATTGGGGACTTGTGCTCATTCTTATTCTTTTATTTTCTTTTATTTTTAGGTAGTATATATATATATTATGTAAATTTAATGTATACTTTTATGAATGTTTTTAAATTTTTTTATCATTGTAGTGATGAAGGCATTTTGCCGTAACATTTGCTTTTTTATTCTGTGTAACCATTATTAAAGCTTTACCTATAATTGCTTTATTTACACAAATTGTTTCCCTTTAATCAACAATTTGTAATGGTGATACAAACTTTTTGCATAATGGCATTTTGGTTTGGTTTACACCACAAGGAAAATGTCTGGTTTACACCTTTACACCACAGGGAAAATGTCTGGTTTACACCTTTACACCACAGGGAAAATGTCTGGTTTACACCTTTACACCACTGGGAAAATGTCTGGTTTTCACCACTGTGAAGATGTCTGGTTTTCACATTCACATCCTACTGTCCATTTCTTAACATCTCATTTTAGGGTAGCAGCTGCGAATATTGTGCACCGGGTTATACAAGGGTCAGCCCAAACGCAACACATCCTGGGACCCAGTGTGTGCCTTGTCGGTGCAATGGTCATGGCATCACAGCATGTGATCAGCTTGGTCTAAACTGCTCCAATCAAACAGTCATTCCCTGTGACCCAGTTACAGGGGTGTGCACGTGTCAGCACAATACCATGGGAGACCACTGTCAATTCTGCAAAACTGGTTACTATGGCAATGCAACAAAAGGAACCTCAGGTTATTTATTTCACATTTTTAGCATTTGCAGCTTCATTATTTAAAAAAGTTACTGAAAACAGTAAATTCAGTGAGAAAAGGATTAACACATAGCACTATAATTGAATGCTGTGTGGTTATATTGCTTTAAAGATCACACCTAGCCAGCTATGACATATTATTTAAATGCAAATGGTGCATTGAGATTCTCCTTGCCATGTTTCTTTCAAAACGCTCAATATTTCCACAGCTGACTGCCTACCATGTGCTTGCCCTGGTTTGATTGTAGCTGGGGTCATCAACGTCTTTGCCAATTCCTGCTCTCTCATTGGTAGCCAACCAGTCTGTGATAACTGCACAACTGGACACACTGGAGATCACTGTGAAATCTGTAGTAATGGATATTTTGGAACCCCAAAAAATGTTACGGTATGTGAAACTCAATGAAAATGTTACGATATGTGAAACTCAATGAAAATGTTACGGTATGTGAAACTCAATGAAAATGTTACTGTATGTGAAACTCAATGAAAATGTTACGGTATGTGAAACTCAATGAAAATGTTACGGTATGTGAAACTCAATGAAAATGTTACGGTATGTGAAACTCAATGAAAATGTTTAAAATGATGAATTGGTTTTTTACTTTTTTATTTGCATATAATTATGAGAGAATTTAAATGGGCAGATTTTTTATATTTATCTATAGTATTAATTTATTAATTGTAATCAAAACATATTTTAAAAATCTATTTATCATCTTGGAAAAAGCATTCACTTATCAGTTAGTTAGAATGTACTTTCTTAGAAAAGGCTTTTTTTTTAAATTACCTTATTTCATGGTTTAGTTTATTGCAGGTTATGTAGGTACCATTCTTGCATCCCCCTTCCTCCCCCCCCCCTAATTTCTTAATCTCTACCAACACCATTGTATACAAAATATTTATAAATCTTGGCAACAAATCGTTCCCAATGCTTGCAAATAATAATTATATAAACCATATCAGGATTTTATAAAATCACGCTCATAAATTTTCAGATTAAAGCCACAAAACAATATGTTTGTATCTGTGATCCACATAAGTGTTTTCCACAGCTCAACCAACTTATAATTAATTATTTATTCATAGTGGTGTGTAAAAGTTGTTAAAAACAAACGATGATCCGGCAGACTGAAGAAATAATATGATGTGCCGCTCTTACAAGTTTATACACATACATACCTGTCTCAAACAAACGCTGCTCCTCATATGGCACTTTGTTGGAATATGATTTGATGCCTTTGGTGCCACCAATGTAGATCGATCATAAGGACAATGAACTCTTTCCTTTTTTCTTGAAGAATAACAGTGGAAAGTGCATAAACTGTGAGTGTAATGGGAGAGCTGACACGTGTGATGGTAGAACAGGAAAGTGTGTAGCGTGTAGGAACCACACAGCAGGACAGAACTGTGATATTTGTGACCAAGAACACTTTGGTGATGCAATGGATTCAGGATGCCAGCGTAAGTCCTAAATATTTCTTGGGATTTCAGCCTTAGTTCTCAATAGAACTTAGGGGGTTTTCAGCATAATTTGTCAATAGAACTTAAGATGTCAGCATTAGTTGCCATTAGATCATAGGATGTCAGTAAAAGTTGTCGATAGAATTTGGGTGTCATTGCAAGTCATAAATAGAAAATAGGATGTCATCATAAGCTGTCAGTAGAATGAGGGTGTCAGTGTAAGTCATTAATAGAACATAAAATATCGGCATAAATTGTCAATAAAACATAGGATGTCAGCATAAGTCATCAATACAACTTAGGATGTCAGCATAGTTGTCAATAGAACACAATGATGTCAGCATAAGCCCACAGTATATATTTTAATTGCCTGTTTAAGAAAAGTGTTCTTGTGACACTCCATCCTGGACTTGACCTTATCAATTAGTAATGGAATATATCAGTTTTAAAGTTTTAAAAGAAAGAAAGGGTTACCTGATCACCATTTGTTTGGCTTCAAGACTCTTAAAAAAATGTATGACACACATAATTTTATCATCCTCATTTTATCACTAATGGAAATATAGATGTCTATCTTTTTTAAACATTAGTATAATACATAATTACATTATAGATTTTCTTTCTAAAACATTTTGGGAAAATTCATTTAAAACTGTAAGCACTGCTCTTTTGATCTTGTTTTCTTAAAATATTTTGTTGCTAAAACAGCAGAAAATCAACCACTCAGGGGGAAAAAAAATTAGATAAAAATAACTGTTAAACTTCTTCTTTCCAAATGAAAACAAATCCGATTAGGATATTACAATTTTTCTGTTAATTTGAAAGTCTTTTGGTGAAACTTTGAGTCAGTGGAGTCAGGAATGTTTGTATCTACAGCTTGTGCCTGTGAAAACATAACTGGAAGTACAGGACTTTGTAATCACGTGACTGGGGAATGTGAATGTCTGCCCAATGTTGCTGGGCCTTCCTGTACCGTGTGCAATGACCTCAGCTTCAACTTGACAGCGGGGATAGGCTGTCAACTGTGTGAATGCAGTGCAGATGGATCAACAAGCACCACCTGTGATAAGGTAAATAGTGCATGCAAGGTGCAGCATTAACTTGATGTGCTAAGAAAACAAATATTTGTGGGTGACCTTATAAATTCAGATGTTTTAGTGAAATTTTCTAGTAATATTTTTGGCTAATTTTTACAAATAATAACAATCTATATAAGTAAATATCAAACCTGAAAAAAAAAAAAAGAGAAAAATTAAAAAAATAAATAAATTATAATATATTTAAATCTTATTTGATTTTAGACCAGTTCATGTGGGGGAATCTGTTTATTTTAGTGAAAAAGTACCAGTAATAAAATAATTTGATTTTAATTTGTTTAATTTAGGGACTAAGGGTATTTTCTACTTGTTAGATCACTTTGATGTTGAACACTTGGGCTTGGAGATGCCAAAGGAAATCAGTGCCTGTTTTGGGGTGTTTTTAATTCTATGCTATGGAAAAATGTATATGCGTTGATGTATCTCTTATTGCAAGTGAAGATAATCATGTCAATATTCTTAAATAAGAAATGTGTTAATAGTCTGTAAAAAATGATATACAGGCAGACCGAATAATGGATGCACTAGATTCCTGAATTGATTTAATTAAATTTCTTTGATAAAAATACATGGTACACTAGACACACTTCTTCATATTTCTTTCTACTATGTACTTGCACATTATTGGTCCAAATTATAATCAAGCAAAGCTAACAACAAATTATATCGTCCAAAAATAATGAGTTGAAGATGGCTTTATATATTTTTGTTTGTTTCTGTTTCATTCTTTATAAAGGCTGCCATTTAATATTAAGTCTCTTAAAAAAATAATTCTTTAACCTCAGCTGTTTACTCCACTGATTGTGGCTGTCTACAACATATTTTCAATTGCATTCCCCAATCTTCACCCTACTTTGTTTTTATCTCAATCTTTTACTTTAAACTCTAGCAAAGTGTAACCCTGTTAAATAGATATAATCAATTTGCGTATGATCTTTAGATCAGTGGTCTGTGCACATGTCGTAACTTGGTCACTGGACGCAAATGTGATAAGTGCCAGGATGGTTACTGGAACGTTAATAACAGGACTGGTTGTGATCGTAAGTCATTTAGAGAACAAAAATTATTTAAAATTTTAATTCATCTCAATAATTTGGGTCTCTGTTTAAAAAATTAAAACCTTCAAACTCCTTAACTAAATTCATAACCTGTTAACCTCTATCTATTTTTTTAACATGTTACATTTTTAAAAATATCATTACTTGTTAAATTATAGAGTGGGAAATAAACTGAAACAAAACTCTTGTTTAGCTGTTTTATAGGTTCTTATGTGTTAAAAAAATATATTTTAATGTTTGTAAGATTCATGTCTTAGAATCTCTTTATTTATTAGCTTAAATTTAGAGAACAGAATTCCATTAGATTACATCAAACACTTCAACTTTGAAGAATTTCTTAGATAAATTAGTCTCATTCAATAATTATAACCTTATTTGTCAGCCTGTTCATGTAAGGCTGAGGGAACAGCCAAGTATGACAATGGAACAGTCCAGCAGTCTTGTGATGTCAAGACAGGTCAATGTAACTGTGCACTGCCTGGTATTATAGGAAGGACTTGTGACTCTTGTTCTGCTGTCTCAAAAAGTGAGGGGTTGTTTGTCTTTCAAGAAAAATAAAGCAAGTTTGACTTGGATTATTGTTCACAATATTTTGAACAGTAATGGTGGCTGAAAGAATTTTTATTACTTTGCAGTTTTAAACTTCATTTGCGCACGCTTGTCTCAAGAATCTGAAACGTATAAAATACTATCTTAATTATTTTTTTTTGGATCACCATGACATAAATAATAGGATTTTATGTATGGTTAACAGAAAAGCTAGGTACACAATTAATGACACTAGAAAAAGTTTTATTGCTTTTCTCACTGTTCATGTTTCAGGTGTATTCCAATATGTCAGCCTGTTTCACATTGGTAAGAAATAATTGTTACGCTTTATTTATTTGCTGAATAGATTAACAAGGTGTTCACCTGGTCTAAAACATTTCAATGGCACTACTCAGTGGATTTTTCATAAATTTTCTTCATTTGTAATTTAGTTACAACACATGATAAATTATTTTAAAGCTTATATTAGGGTTTTTAAAAATAAATTTAAAAATGTATGGTAATTATATAGAGGAAAAAAAATTACAGCAGTTAAATTTCAAAGGAAGATAGCAAATAATCATGGGTAGAATTTTCATTTCAATTCAAGACAAAGTAAAAGCAACTTATTTTATAACAAAAATGCAACAGGTTATAGGCTAAAACAGAACTGTCTCTAACAGTTTTCAGTTTCTCAGTTTGTTTTGTTTACATCTCTGTAAATATACAAATGAAAGGATAATGGAATCCCTGCCGATTTCTTAAATACAAAGAAAGATATGGACTGTATTAAAGCTTAAAGAATATTATGTGATTATCAATAGACTTGGATCATTACTTTCCCCATGACATTGTGGTGCCTCACCTCACTGTAATTTATTGGGGATTGGGGTAATTGCTACTGCATTGATGCAGGCAAGAAGTTAGTGATACCTAATTGTCTCTAGCATTGCCCTACATTTTATTAACAAAATCTAGCTAAGAATGACTGTTTAAGTAAATATTATTGATGGCACAGGTGAATTCCCTCAATGTGTTCTGTGTGGCAACTGCTTTGACTCCTGGGCTGAAACAATAGACAACATTGGAAAACATTTGCATGAGATGGACTTGAGAGCTGATGTCATTTGGAGTGAATTTGGTAGGAGTTTCTTTCATCATAGTCATCACAATGTATACAAGAAAATTATGCTGCAACATATCAATACAATTATGTATTAATCTTCTACTCACTTGAGTAGTCAAATTATTAAAACTGTAATAGCAATTGTAATGTAAGTGCCTTCCAAACCCATTCTTATCTAGATAACCAAACATCAGAACAAGTTAGACAAGCACTGACAAACATTGAAGAAAAAATCAACTCCACCAATTTACTGTTGTCCAAATTTGAGGCACTAGCCCTGCAACTGGAAGAGCTACAGAACAAGTTTGCAGAGGTAAGTAAGGCCACACTTTTCATTTTAATTATATATCAGTGCAGGTGGGATTGGATTGTGGAGTGTTTACCATCAGGATTCTGTCGTGATTTTGAATGCAGTGAGGAAACCCCGAATGTCCAATCTACTACTAAGGGAAGAAAACTTTATTTTTTTAAAAAATTATCTACAAGCCTGATATTTAGAGACATTTTTGTACAATACAATGTAATGTAAGGTGTACGGTGTAGGCTTTTAAAAAGTTAGCACAAACATAGAAAACAAAGCAAAATTTATTTAAAAATAATTGTAAACTTCAGGGATCAGAAAAGCCAGCCAGTTGACCTTAATGGGCTAGCACAAAAACATCAAGACTGCAAGGAACTGTATACATTTGACTAAAAATGCTCAAATAAAAAAAGGTTTCAGTCATCCAATGTTTTGATATGTGAGAAAATAAATATCAAGAGATAGGTAGCTAAAAAAAAAGTATAAGCAAACAATCTCAACTTTTAAACTTAGAACATCATTTTTGAGTCATTTTTATTGTGGCTTGAGAGTCTGTCTCGTTCATTTGGGAAAACCTATGGTTACGTTTATATAGATGATCACAAACATATGAATAAAAAACTATTGTGATGCTCCATTTTGATGATCACAAACATATGGATAAAAAACTATTGTGATGCTCCATTTTGTACAGGCACAGAGCAAGCAGAATGATGTCTCCAATGAAATAGATTACCTAACAAACACTGCCAGCACCTTGTCTGCTGAGCTTGGCTCTCTCCTGTCTGTAACAGAGGTGGTACCTGTCTCTGATGCTGTAAATACTTCACTGTCCAGCCTCCGGCAACAGCTCATCACCATTATATCAGCGGCGGAGGTACAGTGGTGTAGATGTTGTACCAAGTTATTTGCAAACAATATAGAACAAATATTTAATTTTTTATTTAATCTACATAAGAAAATTTGTTAAGATATTTTAGCCCAACCTAGAGTTGAAATTAAGCTGCAACACTGCTATGACATGAGCAGTTACGTTTGTTAGTCATATTAGTTAGACACCAAACATAAATAGTAGAGAATGAATTAGATGTTGTAGGGAGACGTGTTTGAAAGATAATTGTTACATCGTAATCGTGTCAAAGATATTAGAGGGCCATCCATTAATGATGTCACGCGTCTAGGGGGAGGGGGGCACATTTTTGTGGAGATGAGGGGAAAGGGGGTTAAAGCAAGGTGACATCACATTAAGAGTAGAACATTATAGTTTTAAAAAATGCCGCTAATAACACTAAATGGCTCACATTATTCTTTGATACAAAAATGACGATTATTTAATTTTTAAACTAAAATCACTGAGAGAATCCGGTATGTGGGTCCGAAATGTGGCCTCTGATCAAGTTACGGGACGCCACGGAGGAGGAGATTGGGGTGTAGTGACTCTGAAAGTCATCAGAATTTACGTGGAAATGGGGAGATGGGAATCATAAGGGCTACCACTGGAAGTGAGATGGAACTCAAAATGTTAGACGGGGGGGGGGGATTTTAGTAAATGTTCAAGGCCAGTGGTTCTTAGATTTTTCACAGGGCTGCATCCCCTCTCAACATTCTAAACATACCCCATAATAAATTGTTAAAAATGAAAATAATTAAAATTATTTATTTATTGTCATTTTATTTGTTAAATTAACTTTCTAGATACAAGAAAACTATGGACAATACCAGTAATGCGCACAAAATATTCACCAGAAAGAAAAAATTTACTGCCGGTAGAAACAACTAGCAATGGCAGCAAATGTAATTTATTTTTTGAGTCTTCCGCACTTTCACCCTTGTTTAAGAACCACTGTTCTAGGGAAATGTTTCTGAAACAGGTGCAGTAATTCGATATCCATGGCTGGTGATTTTTGTAAGGGCTTGTAAAGGACAGTAGTGGTCAGATGAATTTTTTTTGTGTGGGGGTGGCAGAGGTTTCTGACGTTATACTGGAGGAGCGGTCTAGCGATTTATTGGGGTGGGAGGGGTAAAAATTGGCAAAATTTGCCTGATATCATTTATGGATGACCTCTTATTTGAAAACCTGTATGTCTTTTCTCACGTTCAGCTATCAGCAAGTCAAGGCAACTCCAGTTTTGCTCACATTCAAACTCTTTCCTTTGTGGTGGCCTCCCCTGAAGAAAGGGAGCAAAACCTCCGCAACCAGGCAAAGAAATCCATGGAGTTAGCCGCACTGATAAACCAGACATACCTAACGCTAAGTAAGAGTTGTAATAAATTTAGTCCATAAGAATACAACATATTATGAAAGAGTTGTATATGTTCTGTCCATAAGAATACAACATATAAGGAAGAGTTTCATATGTGCAGTCCATAAAAATGCAACATATTAAGGAAGAGTTTCATATGTTCAGTCCATAAGAATACAACATGTTAAGGAAGAGTCGTAAAAAATTCAGTTTTTATAAAAGTTTAGTTGTTAAGTTTCAATACTGTGTAATATTTTCAAAACAGGTTTTTTAAAAATCTCATTGGACTCACTTCTGTAATGTCTCTGCTCAAAAGCCACTACTCACTTGTATAATGTCTCTGCTTGAAAGCCACTACTCACTTGTATAATGTCTCTGCTTGAAAACCAATACTCACTTGTGTAATTTCTCTGCTGTAAGCCACTACTCACTAAACAGGAGATTATTTTTTCTGTACCGGTATTATCTCTTGTTTACTTTCCAGAGAAACTCTATGAAACGTCCTTGACCCCAGGAGCCAATCAAAGAGCTTCAGATTTGAGCGCAACTTCAGAGAAACTAAACAACGTCACAGCGTTAGCCTCAGAGGTGGCCAGGATTGTTGCAGGCATCACGCTGGATGTTGACAGTGTCAACTCAACTGTGACGTCATTGGTGGCTGAGTCCACCAGGGTCAGGACGGACGTACTGGACAGTGTCATGAAATTACAGGTATGGTGTCAGTGAATCCAAAGAAATTCATTGTCTGTTCCCACACTCTGATGTTTACCACAAAGTGAATTTTGTGTTTGAATATGTATTTTACTTTCCTAAACAGGACATCAACTCAATAATTTTAAAAAATACATATCATTTTATTTGTCTATTCTATTACTTTGCAACACAATTTTATCACTAGATATAATAGAAAATAGATGTAATGGTGTGGTGTATATAGTATTGTACTTTAGAATATCTAATGACTAGCCTAAAACCCTAGCTTCCCAGCGGTGTTTGAGGGAATGAAGGTTATAATAAAACTATATGAAAATTTAAAGTATTTTAAAACATGAAGGCTTTTGAGTCTTTGGAAATCTTAAGTGCATGAAATTAGTCATTAGTGATGGGCTGAGAAATGAAAACAATATTGTTTTCTGATAGGTATTGATGGTCATGTTTTGGAAGTCAAACAACAATCAGATTTTTGGTCACAGCCCAGCACCACTCATGTGATTCTGATGTATGTAACCGGGCAACTGGCTTGTTTCAGAGAGATTACCAGATTACCTCACCATCATCCTCCTATAATTTCCCATCTCCTATTAGGAGAAGGAGGTTTGAGAGAACTTCTCTGCCTTTAGATTGCTTTTGAGATGACCAAAATTGTTGTCTTAGAAGGATCAGATTTAAACTTTAGGCCACAGGCGGGAGGACTTGTCGAAATCATCAGCATGTGTTCCCAAGAAAAATCAGGTAGTTTTTGCCTGAAATCACTGCCCAGTAGCGTAATAATCCCACTTGTACAGCATTGACTTCTCTGGATGTCCTGAAGAGTTCTGTCCAATGCTTCCTTTCTCTCTCTCCCCCCCCCCCCCCCCCCCCCCCCC